TATGTGCTTCTCCCCTTTTCCCTTGCTACGATAAAAAATTGTTTTCTAGAACCCCTACACAACACTGGAAAACATTGCCATGGTAGGAGAAAAACCTTCAAGTCACACAACAAAACTAGGAAAAATGGTACAACAAAAAGCTTCCTGAATATATACAGCTAAAGCATGAGCTCATATAATGCAAATAATTACTGTAGACATTTGGGAATCACTTTACTATGCTGAAAAAATGTCTACATTAAATCTCTGCAGACATATCTAGAGAACTTGTACTGCACAGACAGTCTCCCAGATTACCTCCTTCGTATCATGACATAGCAAATGCTTTGCTTTATGCTTTACAGTTGCAACTCAAACTAGGGTTGACCTATCTAGAAACAATACATGAACTATCTCTTAAATTGCCCCACAGAAAAGTCACCTAATGGGAGGAAAGGAGTCAACTGGAGCATGTGCAGAGAACGCAGGACCTTATGGATGGTGAACCACAGGAACCCTTTTCTGTTTAAACTGAGGTCCATCTAAAGCCTGGCTTGCTTGAATAACACCTTTTCCACCAAGAGACATAAGAATCTGCTTTTCATAACAAAAATTACTTTCTCAAGGACTTCTGTCCTTGGCTCATGCCAGAACTGGTCTAACAGTATGTCACATGGTCACCTTTTAGTTTTCAAGAGACTGACCTTATGCATGTACAATATTTTCCTGAGTCAGGGCCAAAATTCCAACAGAAAACCCTTAAGACTTCAGAAGGTAATAATGTAAAAACAAAACAAATCTACAATGATTTTTGAGAGAAAAAGAAATAATCACACAATAGAATTTAGTAAAAGCCAGAGTTTGCATTTTTTGCATCACCTTTCCACAGCCAGGAAGAAAAGAAACCAGCTACCGTTTTGGTGCACTCAAATCCTACTATGTGATTTATGCAGTCCAATACACACTGTAATGACAAGGTATGGGTTCTTCCATATCCCTCCATATCCCAGCTAGCCTGAATTGTCAGCTTAAACAAGATCCACACGTCAAAGACTAACATTTGCTATCTGAACTCCATACTAACTCCTAAATCTCTAGGAAACCCTACTGAACAACAACACACTATAATGGAGATGCCTCTGAACAGCAGAGCTGAAAACATATAAGGGTTTAAAACTCTTTTTTCCCTGACAATTTCCATCAATTCTCTTAATTCTGGGGCCATGGAGGGCTGTCACTCTAAAATTCTGAGAGAAAAACACCCTTAGTGTGCAGGCTTAGCATAAGCCACTCATCTGCAAAACCACATGGGAGGATTTCAAGCCAACAGATATTTATATAGACAGAGCAACCCTACAGTCTTATCTATAGAATTGCTGCAAGTAGATTATGCAGGTACTATTTGCAGCTACAGTGCAATACAATTATATTCCAGTTGTATTGAAAAATTTCTGATTCTTTCAAGAATTATGCTTCTGATATTCTTAAAACATTGGAGAGATTTACAAAATGAATTTACAAATTATTTTAGATAACAAAGTTACTAAGAATAATTTTTAGTCTAGTACAAATATAAATGTTAAGCCATAAATCTGCAAGGGATTACTGTCTAATTAATAGGAAGAAAATAGCATCAGTATTCTTGGACAGCAAAGCACATGCCAGATTTTCCATACACAGTAGCTTTTAAGCCATTACAAGCTATATAGATTTACACACATGTATGGATATATATATAAAAAAATATCAAAAAGAACTGTATCATTGACACAATAGATGAAGAGCCACTTGAGCATGATGGTTGGTCTTCAGCTCATATCATGGCATGCAGGAAGAGGCTTTGAATGATAACCAGGCAAAAACATTCTCAGGTGCTCCTTCTATGAGCCTTTGTATCTGCTAAATTGACAAGTAGCTGGGTGCTATTTTCAGATGTGTTCTCAGGCTGCCCCGTGGCCTGTAATCCTGCAGGATCTGTCCTTCTGGAAGCTTCTGCAGAGACACATCAATGATTCAGCTCGGGTCGCTGGGCTGCTCTCTCCCTCAATTACTAGGAAGCTCCAGGGAGACTGGTGTTTAGTATGGAGGTCACTCTCTTTCTCAAAGCCTTTGCATTTAAAAATCGCTTTCTATAAATAGGATTGCTGGCTCACTCTTAAATCTTACTGCTTGCCTTCTAAATAAAAATAGCTTAATAGGGATGCGGGGAAGAGTCGTTAATCTCTCATCTTTCTGACCATCCATTTGCCTTTCTTTCTTTCCTCAGTATATATCAGAACATTTATTGCCCACTCCACTATGAAAGATAGAGTAGGTGATGTATTTATTGATATACCCTAGTTTCTCTTCTTCTGATGAGTAATTCAGTGCTCTAGTGGAAAAAAAAGAAAATACTTATGAGGTAACAAGAATTTGTTAGTAAATAGCAGTATAAAAAGAAAAGCAATGGCAAGAAAAGCCCACAGTGCTAGCAAGTACCTGAGAAATCTCTGAATTGTTCTTAAATGATCTAAAATATTGTGCTGTGAAAGGCTCTCGTGAAATACCTCCCATTTTATGTTGTTTTATTTTAGAAAATGCCAATCGTTTGATGGAATGCTTTTAAGAGACAGAGAGGTGAAAACTGGGAAGACAGGATTTCTTTATAAAATAACAATTTTAAATCATATTGATTTACATCTTACTTTATTTCACAACAGGCTAAAGGAAAAGGAAGTGTTGATTAAAAAGGATTGTGAAAGATCTCGAACTATATTGTGAAACAAGTAATTTAACTGCAAACACCTACACATTCACCTTGAAATAATTAAGTAGTCTAATCTGCAGTCCTGTATTGCTTAAATGGATATTTATTATTTTTACTACTCTTAGAGTTTCATTTACTCAAAAAAAAAAAAAAATAGTGTTTTTTGGTTTGGTTTGGGTTTTTTTGTTGTTTTTGGTTTGTTTGTTTTTTTTTAAATCAAACAACTGCACCTTAGAATAATTAAGTTGAATACAATTATTTTTCTGCCTTCCCTAGCCTTTCAAGTGAAAGCTGGAATTAGTTTCTTTCCCACTGGGGATCTGAAAGAGCCCTAGACTGAGAGATTGATTAATGACATCCTCCAATTAAAACCAAAGAGTAAATGACTGGTATATTCAAACAGACCTTGATCCTACAAACAACTTGTTAACTAGAGTAAACTTTAAGAGGAAAAGAAAGAATTCTATCTGTTTTGCTCCTCGATACTCTCCCCTTCCCACCCCTCAAAGATGCTTAGTTTTATTCCATTTTGCATGATTTTTAATTCAATGTTTATTAAATAGGTTAAAGAGGTATATTCCTAAGAGAGCAGCATATTTGTTAAGACACTTATGCAGGCAAAGATACAAAAGTTGAGGTCCAACCTGAGCCCAGCTGCGCCTGTAACCAGAGCCTTGCACAGCTCACCAGCTGGAGGAGCTTCCTGGAAGAGCTACACAAAAGCCCACAGGATTTTCCAAAACCACAGAATCTTAGGGGTTGGAAGGGACCTCGGAAGATCATCTAGTCCAACCCCCCTGCCAGAGCAGGGTCACCCAGAGCACATCACACAGGAACGTGTCCAGGTGGGTTTTGAATGTCTCCAGAGAAGGAGACTCCACAGCCTCTCTGGGCAGCCTGTCCCAGTGCTCTGTCACTCTCACAGGAAAGAAGTTTTTTCCTGATGTTTACGTGGAAATAATCCAGTTTATCGGTACATGACATGCAAAAAAGTTTACTCAGGAGGAAGCACAACTAAAATCAACTCCTAAACTTTTCCGGAGGCAGCAGCACTGAAGAGATGCCTCTGGAATCACAGTGCAGAGCTGCAAGCTCGGCAACAGGCTTTACGGGTTTACTTTTTACTGCTCCTAGAATTCGACGTCACTTTTCAGCCGTCGCCAGAAACACCTTCATCGTCACCCACGCCCGCTTCCCGGGGGCTGGGGAAGAAGATGCAGCGTCCACCAGTGAAAACTTCAGCGATCACTGGTAGAAAAACGCCGGCAAGACGCCTGCTCGGGGCCCCGCGGGTGCCCGGGCTGCGGGAGCGCCGGCCAGACCCGCGGGGTTTGCTGCCCACTAGTGTCGGTGGCCCCGGCAGCACCGCGCTCTGCCCGCCCAGCAGGGACACAGCCCCGGCCGGCCCTGGCCATGGGTATCACCCGAGCTGAGGAGAAACTCTTCTTCCGAAATGGAAAAGGAGGTTGCCGGCATCCTCCGACTGCCTGGCTATCACGATTTGTCTCTATTTGGCATTTGGTGACTAATTAATAGCTATTCCTAGCTTGAGTAACAGCAGATTAAAAACATCATCAGCTGCACGGTGCCATCTGCAAACATATACCAAGAGAAATGCTTTCTGCACATGCATTAAACTTTCTAAGGTAAGGATGTGGCTACACGATTCCCAATAAGCTATGCATGTATTACAACGTTTCTACAACGAGAGCCATCTGCTCTGTTCCTTTAATGTTTCATCTCTGGCACCTGAGAGTCACCATTTTCTTTGGAGAGGGTCATTAGTACCACCATCACTTTCACTACTCCTGCTCCAGCCTAACCCTTGCTCTCACTTCAGTATGCTCCTTCTCAGTCTTCTCACATGCTGCTGAAATCAATCGTGATAGATACAGAGCAGGCAAAGGATTCAAACAGGAAATCATTTTAGTGGGAAATTATTTTTAGTGTTATCTGTACTGTACTAGGTGCCTCCTGATGCTCCATCGATTTCAGCAGAACATCTGCAGACAACAGGCATATAAGAAACACAGCAAGAGAGAAGCCTGCAAATGGGTTCAGCATACCTGTTCCAGAGACTGAATGATACTGAAAGATTGTTTCTGAAAACAGAATCCTACTTCTGAACTAACTTTATCACAGTAATTACAATCATCAGGATTTTGAAGGAGGCCATTCTCCCCTCAAAACCTCCCCTATATTCTCCTTCCTCCTCTCCCTGTAATTACTGAAATACCCCTTTAGTAATGCTTCTGGAATACTTGGATATAGTGGCATGGAAGGTAGTACTGATATAGTAACCCTGAAGGTAACTCAAACATATTGCTCAGGATGGCAACTGCATGACTCAGGCTTTCAAAGTGGTGAATTTACCTGCATAGCACCCACTGTTATCTGTATCATCCATATACTTAGTAAGGCCACAGTGCATTTGGGGTTAATGGTTACCTGCATTTTTCAGATACTCACAACAAAAAGAGTTTAAAGCCTTTACAAAATCTAAAAACTTCAACCAGGTATTTGGGAAGGTTTTGTTTCAGGATTCAGAAATACTAATTGGATGTAACAGCATGTCAGTATTTCATTGTCCCCAGAGGAAGCTATTTCACAAACATAAAGCCTACCCAGTGACACTGCTCTTCACTGCTCTTATCTAACTTGACAAAATGTATTTGTGCTGGGTGACTGTAGTGAAATATGGGGGCTAACCTTGCTGTTGGTATTCACATGATTTCCATTACCTTCAACAGAAACTTGGCCCAAGATGATTACTCCAGGGTTAAACCCATAATGTGTAGATTTATCTTTTAATCTATTTCTCCCTTAAAATTAAAAAAAAAAATCTGACATGATTGACATGAACAATCTTACACATTTTAAAGTTAAAAATAGAATAAGATGTAACACATAATTTAAAAATACTCATATGTGTGCTTGTGTTTTAAGTAGCTGTAGAATGGTTTCATAAGGGGTTCAGAAGTCAAGCAACCTTCAATATCCTGTGCCCCCTCTCCCCCCAGATATAATCATAAAATAATACTGTCTCTCACACAGCAGACTTCAGACATATAGATAGAATAATGAAAATAAATGTGTACGTGACATATCTATTCATATATGCAGTCATTTCCTTCAAAGAGATATATATCTGATATGACATTACATTAAAATCTGCAGTCCTTTAAAAATACTATTCTTTGACTCTTGACTCTGATATGATAGTCCAGATAAATGTCACTAATAAATGAAACCAAGTCGTTCAGTCTTAACATGAAGGTAGGTGCCATTTTCAAAACTTTCCTTTAAAAAGATCCTAGATATATATGCATTTTGACATTGTGTGATGTCAAAAACCAACACACTTCTTAAGTTCCAAAGAAACACTGAATCATCCACTACGTATTTCTACAATGCTTTCATCTTATAATATTACTAAAATAAAATGGTTTTGTGTATCGTAATCTAGATTGGTAAGCCTAGAGATGTTGCTGTGTGGCAGTATAAAATCTATGCAGATACATCTATCATTTACATGTTCTACTATTAAAACTAGAAAAATCTTTGGGATACCGATGCATGTTTGACTGTGATCCAAAAACACATGGATATTGAAAGTGAAATTGCTATGGACTTTATAGAGCAAGGAAAAAATGAAACTGATTTTCATAGTATTTCAACTTCATAAAGCAAAAATTACTCTGTTCTTTGAAAAACCTGGAAGGAGGACTAACTGACTTAGAACATAAAATTTATAGCACCTGTATGAAAGGAAAACAAAACAAAACAACATCAAAACCAAAAAACAACTGTTCTGATTTTTTTTTAAAAAGAGATGATTTCTGGAAAGAAACAGTTCTTTCTTATGCAATTCTAGGTTTCAACAGACAATGGTGGTAAGTGCTTGTACTTTCAGGCTGATCCTACTTGTCTTGTTAACAGCAAATCTCTTCCTTCAAAGTATCTGGCTGAAAAGGATAGCAAGGCACAATGCTGCCTGTCACGAATAAATAAATAAATAAATAGGTACATACATACATAAAGTAAGAACTTGTTGCAGTTGTCTTACTGCTAGAAGAAATTAATATATATATATACATATAAGTTTAAGGTTTGGGGTTTTCCAAGAATTGTCCATTTTGTGGTGCTCAGAAGATGAAACCGTCGTAAGATAGCCCTAAATACACACATAAGATTCACCTCCTAATGTATCATCTATCCAGCTATTCACACTGGACTGGCCATGCCTGTCAAAGCATTTTCTCATCCAGCATCTACTTAAGTAGATGTGAAGGGACCGTCATCCAGAATTCATTCCTCAACCTCTGCTAGAGGTTCAATTCTTTGTATCTTCCAGGAAAACCTTTCGCTCTGCCCTGTCCCTCTCTCACATTCATTCAATACAAGAAACATCTTCCTATTCTACCTGCTTTGCCTATCCTGAGAATTGTGTGTTTAATCCTTCTGATTTAACTGCCAGGATGTAACATCACAGGCAAAGCTACGTTCTCAAATCTGAGCAGGAGACAGCAACGTAATAGAACAGCCAGAATCCAAGACGACAGCATAATTAGTTTTCTGTCCTTAAAACTGCACTGCTAATATGCATTTAAATAAAAGTTACACAATTTAAACACATTTTCACATACAACGTGGTTTTCAATCCCATGTATCTGAATATTCCCCAATGCCCCCATCCACTACCACAAAAATCCAGAAACGACAATAAACGTTTGTCAAAGAGTTAGCAAAATGAAGCAGGGGGTGGGAGGGGGAACAGAGGGAGAGAACAGGTTTACCCTTCTTCTATATCCACTCTAATTTCCCTTTCCTAACTTTATAATTGACTAAAAGTGTCTTCAACGTTTTCAGATGATGTCATGTTTCTTTTCAGTGCATATTTTTACATAAGTGGGGGGGGG